TCAGACTTTAAATACACATCTGAGACCTCATAAGGTGTTAGAAGTCTTACATGTTGGCCAACTTCTGCTGCCACAGAAATCAAATTATGCAACCATGGAAAATTTGCTAATTGAAAAGGAAGTCGATCATATATAAAAAATTTGATACTGATTTACCCATTTTTCTTCTTAATGTCTTTAGAAATGAATCACTTACTTTTGGTTGCTTGAACTTTTACTTCTAACCAATTCAAGAATAGCTCCCCTTAATGAAAATTCAGACTCATTTGGAGTTGATTTTTTTGTTCTTTCTTCAAAATATTCAGCAACTGAACATGAGAGCTTCCTTCTTCATATATGTTACTCCAACCACTAGTTCTTTGTCTGAATTCTTGTCTTCTGTGCCACTCATGTTGTGGTTGGATAGTTTCTCGCACAGCTTGTCTAGTAGCGATGTCTTCATCAATAAATCCTTCATAATCATCTTCCTCTCTTAACTATGATAAAAATTCATTTTTTCTCCTTTTGTTGTCAGCTTTTTTTTTATTTGTTTTCTTGAAGGAGTTTCATCATACTTTCTCTTACATACCTATTAATAATATAGTTAAAAAAAAAGAAAAAATTAGTTGCACATGCTTATGTAATTTTATAATTTTTATTAAGAAATTAACAATAATATTTTCAAAGGAATTAAAAAAACATAACATACCAGTAACGTTGGGGCATGGTGCAACATTGTCAGTTTTATGAGCAATGTGTTCTTTGAAACGTGTTATTCCTCCTTTTACAACTTTACCACAAAGTTTATATGAAACATTTCCTCTTATATTTGGCACAGGTGTTCCAAAATACCGACCTATATTATCACTTAGCGTGCCCTCTACTCCTTTACTCGAAAACTTTTCACGTGGTGGCATACTTACTATTTTGTATAAAAACAAAATAAACTTATATTTAGAAATATTAATATTACTTATTACATCATTAAAAATTGATTTTACGTTAAATTTTTTAATTTTTAGTTTTTAATCTTAAGAATATTATTAAATAACTTAATCTTTTTGATACACTAATTGATATTAATTTTTTATCACAAATAACTTTAAATAATTATATAATAAATACAATCTTCAATAATTACACAAAAATAATAAGAATTAATCTAATATCAAAAGAATTGACAACAATATAAATATCAAAACAACAAAAAAAATTATTAAATTTCATGTACAAAATTATAAATTAATATCTAACACAATCAAAATATAATATTTAATTTTAATTAATTTTTGTCTAACTTATATAAAAAATTTATCAATAATTTTCATCTACAATCTCTATGTATATCATATTAAATTATTAATCTCTTAATTTTTTTTATTATAAATCTTCAATCCCTTTAATTAGATTTTATCTAAAAAAATTTCAAAAATTAAAGTTTTCAAACTTATATTTTAATAAATTTTCAAACCTATATTTTTTATTTTTTAGTTTTTTAATCTTAATAGAGTAATAGATCATAAAATGCTAAATTTATTAAGTAACTTAATCTTTTTGATACACTAATTGATATAAATTTTTTTTATCACAAACAGCTTTTAATAATTATATAATAAACACAATCTTCAATAATTATACAAAAATAACAAGAATTAATCTAATATCAAAAGAATTGACAATAATATAAAATATCAAAACAACAAAAATATAAAATTCAGATACAAAATTATAAATTAATATATAACACAATCAAATATAATATTTAATTTTAATTATTTTTCATCTAACTTATACAAAAAAATTTATCAAAATTTTTCATTTAAAATCTCTATATATTATATTAAATTATTAATCTCTTTTTTTTTAATTATAAATTTTCAAAACCACTAATTAAATTTTATCTAAAAAATTTTTAAAAATTAATTGCAAAATTAAATAAAAAAATTCAATCCCACCCTCCAAACACCCCACCACACCCCCATCCAATCCCTCTCCACCTTCCCCCCAACATCCCACCACACCCAATCCCTCCCCACCCCATCCAATCTCTCCCTACGTGCCTAATATCCCAAATTTGTTTAATTCTTTCTAGCAAATAGCAGACATTTCTAGAAATGCTAATACTTTCTTCTGTTCATCTTCTTCTTCGTGTTGCTTTCTTTGACTTTTCAGAATTGTCTTCTTATCTCTTTTTTTTTTTTCTCATCTCTCGTTTTCTCTCGCATTCCTTTATCACTATCATTTGCTGACTTGCCTAGTATCTAGGATACCTCGTTCGTCTTTCAAACTCTCACAATAGATTATTTTACAAAAATTTTACAAAAAAAAAGATAATTTAACTTTCTTTTCTTACCTTATTTGATCTTGAATGTTGATTGAAAACTTGAGGCTGATTTGAATTTGAATGCCAAAAATGTCGATTGAATGGTTGAAACTTGAAATAATTGATCTGTTTTCTAACTCGTTTTTAAATTTATTTTGATGATAAAGATATGAGATTGTGAGCTTTATTTTTTGCTTTGACTTTTACTTTTACTTTTGCAGGTTTATTGTTTTATTCTGCAGACTTAAAATTTTATTTTTTTCTTAAACTATTAGATCCGTGAATAGAAAAATGGAATAGCGAAAATAACGGTCCGTTATTGCCGGTTACGCCGTTATTTGACTGCCGTTACTCTTCGTTTTTGCTGTGAATGAATTTTTTAACCGCTTTTTATCTAATATCGGTGGCGGAGAGTGGCACTACCATAATTTTACGGTCGTTATTCCGCTATTAAACCATTATTTGAATCTCTACCTACCAGGCCATGATCGTCTCTGACTCTGCATTGTTTCTAATATGAAAAGTAAGTCGCTTTCTCTTTTTTCTCTTTCAATTTTGATTTCTGGGTACTTTTTTTTTTGTTACCATTGTCTAAGCAAATTTTCTTGTTTAGCTTTTCTTTTATTTATTTATTTTTTGCTACAAATTTTCTCTTATTTTCTTTTAATCGTTATTGGTTAAACCATCATCATTTCTTATGTTTGTGTATTACTAAGCCATGTCTCTTTGCTGTTTGGCAGAGATCTTGACGAAAATATGAGAGATGCACTTTATAGTTTCATTAAAGAACGTGGGGTGAATGAGAGTTTGCTTTATTTTATTTCATTATCATTTTAAATGTTCTCATATTTTTATAAATTAATTTCATCAAATGTTAATAATAGACTCGGAACGAAGTCCTTACATCCTTCTAGTTATAATAATGGATGGTTGCACAAGTGATGCCTGCTTGAAGTCTTGCCAGCAAATATACGCAGATAAAGCAAGAGGAGGGTCTTGTCTTGGTGACAGTTGCCTTTGCTTGCACCTTTGTTAATTCAAAAGTTCTTTTTTTTAATCTATTTTTATTTTGATTTTGGTGTTTAATTGGTGCCTTTCTTCTACCAAATTCTCATTAATAATGCCAAAATCTAATAAAAATAGTTGAATAAAATTGAGACCTATTGATAATTTCAATTGAGATCTATTGATTATTTCAATTAACCTTATGATTAATTGTGTAAACTGAGAGGAACAACAATTTAGGATCTATTTAAGAATCTGATTAAAAGATTTTCATCACATAAAAAGATGGTTTTATGATTGAATTCTTAAGAATTTATGATGCAATACGAGTCCTTCTAGTCCTGTCCGAGCTCCAAAATGGATCATTAATTCCATTCTTCCAATTTTGTATTCCTCTCATCCAATGATCAGGAGAAAAATGATCATGGCCTGTTGTGGTACATATTAATAAGATTAATAAATAAGAAAGTAAAAAAAAAAAATTCAAAGAATACCTTAAAATTGATTTATTTAAAAATATCTATCTTTTGCACTTAATACGTACACTTCTGTATAGATAATCAATGTTTTATATCTCACTTTCTTTTTTCCAATAAAAAAAACAGTTATTTGTAAAGGATTAATCCATTTAGTAAAAGAAAAACTCTTTTTTCATGTTAATTCAGGTTTGATTTTTGTGAAAAATATTTGAAAAATAAATTTTAAAATGTATCATATTATATAAAAGATTATATTTTTAAAATTGTTTGGACAAAAAATTAATGAAAATATCTTGATGATATTACAAAAGACAAAGATAATTTGTTTCCTACATTTTTTTTTTTTACAAAATTGCATGTATCAACAAAATTATAAGAACAATGCTAAAGATCTACCCTGCCTAACCCATCTAGCCTCTTTTATCTCGGATGAAGTTTCAGACCATGTCAAAACTAATTTTAAAATAATATTATAAATAAGATTAAATTAAATAATATTATTTTATTTCATGTTTAATATATGTAAGGATATATTATGATAGGATAATTTATTTATTTATTAAAATTATTTTTTTTAAATTTATATAATTTAAATTATTGATATAATTTTTAAAGATAAAACTAAATATATAAATTTAATTTTATGAATAAAAAATAATTTTTTTCATTGAAGAAAATTAAATAATCTTATGTTGTCTTCAATTTTTTGGCCTAGTGACCAAGAAAGCCTTAAAAAAGACGTTAAGTTGAGGAGCCTCCCCTCTCCTCTTTGTTGTAAGGTTCAACCCCCTTAAAATAAAAATAAAAAATTTTATGTCAAAATGATATTAATTTTTTTTACAATCTTTATCTCTCCTTTGATATGCAAATAAAATATTATATAAAATAATTATCTTATTTTATCAATAATTTTAAATATCAAACATTATCAAAAATATAATGAATAAAAATATTTAATATCGTCGCATCAAAAGACTCTTCGTATCCGTACTTCTATATATATAAAAAACATGCGGAACATCATAAATGAGATACGAACTTCATTAGACCTACAGAATAAACTTGCTTTACCCAATTCAAAACTTACATTACGGTGAGAAGGAGATCGAGTGAGATCTCTTCGTTAAAGTATTGAGATAGAAAGATCTCTACCATTAAACATTTCTTATGTTTTTTATTTCCAAAGCAAAGCCTATACTTACTGATCATCCATATCATTTTAGCAGTGAACATTGACGATGGTACTTTTTAAAGAAGCGAACCAACTTTTCCTTGGGGTACGTAAAAGCTATCTTTGATGACATGAAACTCTTTGAATTTGTTCTTCTAATTTCAAGGAGTGGGTATTTGACAGGGTTGAAGAACTCTACATGAGCAACTTCTTCAATGGCTCTCAAGTCCAACCATATAGCTATCCAACCGAAGGTGATGTCTAGGAACCCTACTGTCTCACCTCCAAAGAATTTCTTACCTTTCAACATTCCTTCAAGCAGTTCCATGGCATTTCGTACTTGCTTCATTTCCATCGTTAGCCGCTCTAACACTTTTCTTGAACGTTCAAGTAACTAAAATCATATATTCAATGAATAGTTGTATTAATTTTTTTATAATTTATATATATTTTTTAAATAAAAACTAAACGTAATATATGAAGATTACATTCTATTCTATCCATCATATTATGCATCAAAAATAATATTTGTACATTATATTACACATGTTGATAAGCCTATTAAAATAAATTGTGATAATATGATCGCTATAATCCACACAAAAATTTTTAAATGTCATGATACAATCAACATACATTAAAAAAATTATTTCATAACAGATATTCTTGAGCAAGCTCTAACAACATTTAGCTATTAAAATAAGGTCTCACCGGGAAATGGATGATAATTAAACTAAATTTTTTAGTCAAAAAGTTAACCTACAATTTTAAAACGTTTTTCTCATTATTTGTTGCTTGGGCTTTGTATTGGATGGGCTTTGTCAGTACTGCCCCTGGTTACATTTTTTATTGGACCCAAAATGTAGAAAAGTTTATACTGTTCCAGAGTCAAGTCAGCCTAATCGTGTAGCCAAACACGCAGGATTTCCTCCATGTCTAAAACCCTTCCGCCTAAAACCCTTCTTCTTAAACACGACCCTCTTAACTTATTTTTCTTCATTTCTCAAAGGAAAAGATTAAATAAATAAAAACATGAATTTGATGTGAAATTATTTCTCTTTCTTTTCGCAAATCCTAGTCTCTATGCATCGTTGTTCTCACAAGTTTTCATGGTTAGTCCTCTCTTTCCTTCTAATAGATTAATGTTCTCTGTCATGCCTTTAACATGTTTGATTTTTTACCTCAATGAATTGTAACATTTTGTTTCTCATAAAGCTTAGATGCCGATTGTTACGGTTATGATTTTGTTAGCATAAATACCCGTCATTGTTTTGCTGTTTGAGTGTTTGCCATGTCCTTTTTGGTTTTAGGTGTCTCTTCTAAGTCAAATAATTACTTTTATTTTCTAGAAATTAATAAGAAATTTAATCATTTGAGGCTTTTGATGGCTTCTTTATTTATTTTTTATTTCTTTCTTTCTGTTTTGTGGAATCAGAGTGTTTTTGAAGTTTTGCCAGGGCGAATGAACGTGGTTTTATCAGTTATTAGCACTGATGGTGTATAACTGTCCAGTGGCAGTGTATAAGCTTTCAGAGCTTTTGATTTTTATAGGTTCTGTTTGGTTTTTGTTTCTACTTCCTATTTGATTTTTTTCTTGAAAAGTTGTTAAAATAAAAAGTTGAGTGTAAAAAGCAAGACCATAGTTTGATTAGATAAGTAAATGGCTTGAATGAAACACACATTTAAACATAATTAACAATTGTTTTCTGTAAATGTAAACTTAAGGTGTTTTACCATTCAAAGGTTATTTAAAAAAAAAAAATTAATTGATCAAAATGACTATATGCTTTTGTATTCAAACACACTTTCTGCAAATAAAGCCTTAACTTTTACAAAATTTATTATTTTGCTGGATATTTTAATCATTATTGCTTACCTTACCTCAATCTTTTTATATCAATAGATTCTTGCTCTCACTCATAATGAGTTAATGAAACTATTGTTTTCCTCTTGGGCAGTGAAGAACTTGCATATTGCTTTCCCTTAATCATTCAGCTGTCACGTTACAGGAGCAGGAATATCCATAACATTGGTTTACTTGTGGGTATTTTGAAGTATAGGAGAATATATTCGAGCCAGAATCTACTTGAGCCAGTCAGTGAAAGGCTCATCACCAGTAGTCAATTTCTCAATCACCCTTCTCAAAGAAGTTCAAGCAAATCCAGTTGTTATCAGAAATTTGCACCTGTTGAAACTTATTCTTTTCTTCAGTCCAGTAGTCTTCAGCATTGGTTCAAAAATTGGCAAGAACAAAGAAAGCATAAATTGACAGCAAGCACATTTGCTGGGGCTATTGGCTTTTGGCCCTGTCGAAGAGCCCAGCTCTGGCTAGAGAAACTTGGGGCAATTGAGCCATTTTCTGGTAACTTGGCTACCTGTTGGAGCAATATTAAAGAAGAGGAAGCTCTTGAAAGATATAAGTTGATAACTGGAAATACAGTTGCTTTTCCTGAATTTCAGGTTTATGGTAAGATGAGCCCTGAAGACAGTTGGTTAGGAGCTTCACCTGATGGGATAGTGGACAGGTTTGTTTATGGGTTGCCTCTTAAAGGAGTATTGGAGATAAAGTGTCCATTTTTGGGTGGAGATATGAGCAAGGCTTTCCCTTGGAAGCGCATCCCCCTCTATTGTATTCCACAAGCTCAGGGTTTAATGGAAATCATGGATCGGGATTGGATGGATTTCTATGTTTGGACTCCTCAAGGAAGCAGTCTGTTTAGGATATACCGAGATGTAGAATACTGGGATGTTCTCAAATTGGCACTCTCTGACTTTTGGTGGAAGCACGTTCAACCAGCAAAAGAAATATGCAGTAAATATGCGATCACAGAACCCCTCAGAGAATTAAAATCACTAAGGCCAGCCTCCAGGCATGAATTATGTAGCTATATAGTTTATGAAAGCAAACGTATTGTTGATAATTCCAATTTATTGATGTGTGAAATAAATGGACAATTGATAAACTGATTTGATGAGTGAGATATTGAATTTTAAAAGGTTAAATGCATATTTGACCTTGAATTTTGTAATTTTGGTCACATTGGTACTTAAATTTTTTTTTGTTATATTGATATCTAAACTTTCAAATTATTATTATGTTGGTATTCCTAACTAACGTCATTAGTCAACTTTATTGACGTAGTATAAATATCTAATAAGATGTTAACACATATTAAAAAGTTTAGTCAGTATCACATCATGTCCATGTCATTTTTAAAAGAAAAATTCAAAAGTTCAAAAAAATATAAAACATTAAAAAAATTTTACATAATTCTAAAAAATTTCTAAATTTTCAAATTATGATAATTTTTATAATTTATAAAAATGTTTCATATTTTTACTTTTTTATAAAATTTAAATTTTTTTATAATATTTCAAAATTTTTAAAATTTTTTAGAATTGTTTAGAATTTTTATGAATTTTTTAATTTTTTTGAGAAATTAAAAAAAATTTTAGTATTTTTTAATACTTTTTTTAAATTAAAATTTTTTTATAAATTTTAAATATTTTTAGCATTTTAAAAAATTTTTAAAATTTTTTAGAATTGTTTAAAAAATTTAGAATTTTTTATAATTTTTAAAAGTTTTTTTTAGATTTTTTAAGAATTTTTTAGAATTATTTTTAGAAAATTTCTTTTAAATATGACATAAAAATGATGTAGCATTGATGATGCAGTGTTGACTAAACTTTTTAGACACATATCAATATTTTATTAAATATTCATAACATCTTAACAAAGTTGACTAATGATATCAATTAGAGGTACAAATATGATAATAATTTGAAAGTTCAAGTATAACAAAAAAAATTTTAAGTATCAATGTGACAAAAGTTATAAAGTTTAGAAGTCAAATATGTATTTAACCCAATTATAAAACCAAATCTAATTCATTTATGGCAATACTTTCTTGAAGTTTGAACAATTATTGAAAATTTTGGTTACTATAAGTTCTCTCAAAAGATCAAGATTGGAAGTTTTTTTTTTTCTTAATAGTTGTAAACATGCATCGAGTTACTGTTAGGTGCCTTCTTTGGTTGGACAAAGTTGAACGCCTATGGGTGTTGAAAGAATTCCTAGGAACATCAGCTGATAAGGGAATATTGAGAAATAAAGAAGATAATATGTTCATCTGAAGTCTGGGATCCATCATGTTTTTGATTGTATGAAAATATTTTTCCTTGCAATTCTTACAATGGTTTGGGATGGAAATGTTAAGGTGGCTCTTGATTGAATCTGGTTCGGTTTTGGCAAGATGGTTGGATAGCAAAATCTTGTGGGCATGATCCTAATAAAGAACTGCTACATGATTGTAAAAACTTCTTGGGTAGAGGTGAGCCTCGACATATTATACTAACCTTAGAAAGGCTTGTAAGTATCCTAACCTATGAGCTTATACTGGGAATTGCCTGGCTCATATATTTGGTGATCCTCTGGCTCGGCTGATTCCTCTTGTAAGAAGTGATTCTTTATGGTTGTTTGGCTCTGGGCTTGTCTCAGTCATAAGAGTAGCTTCAAAGAGGTATAGGAAACCTTAGTGGGGACCTAAAATATTTCATGTAAGTTCTCTTTCTTATGGCCTGGCATAGAAAATCATGACAGATTGGGACAATGAGGCTACAAATTGGCCCGTAGGGAATGGTAGAAAGTTGGTCAAAGAATAAACCTGCAGCCAAATCTAATCTTAAAGGGAACTGGAGGCGTCCTTCAAAGTAGATTCAGTGATGGCTTAGCTTAACGTTAGCATTTCTAGTTACATATCTTATAGTGGGTACGGGAAAAAGTGCTTAGAAGCATGCATGCTATAGATTAAACGAGACTGATTTTATCGTGATAAATGATTCCAAAAATAATTAGCCGACTTTTAATAAAGCGAATTAGCTACTGTGTGGTTTCGTGTTCTATGGGTTCTGAATCTGTTACATATTTAAACCTTGTAAATTAGAGATGCCTGCCATTAGATAATTGTTTCATTGAGGATACCTTTGTATATGAATGCAATTTGTCTGCTGCCAAGTTGGCACCACTGTTACTTGTTCCTTCAGTTTTTTTTTCTAAAGCAAAAAAAAAAAAAAAAAATCTGTCCCACGTGTTTCTGAGTTCCATACTTCCGTACGAATGAATTGATTTTCACACAAAATAAGAAAGTTTGATACATATAATCACTGGAATGCAAGGTTACTGAAGTTCGATCGTAGATGAAAAGTATAGAAATAAGTTTTTTGAAGGCTTTTGTTCCCTGAACCCTTTTATGAAACAAATACGTTGTTTTCTCTCGATATAATCAACGTTGGATTAAATCCACCAGGCTGCTCTGAGTAGTGTGTATCTCAAGGTTTAGGACCTATGATTCAATAAATTTGGAGTAATTTAATTGCTAAGCAATAAATCATTTGTCTTTGTTAGCCATCATCCTTAGTTTGTCTTTTTCCTTTTTTTTTAATTTTAAATTTCAATCCTGTTGTCTTATATCAGGGAGACTGGCTATGGGAAATTTTTTCTTATATTATCTGATGCAACGCAAAGGGCACAAAAGGTTGATGCCTTGGATCTTGTGAAACCAACACTATCAGGTTGGGGTAGGACATCCACAAATTAAGATTTTTGAATACTTCATATATTGACCCACAACTCTCTTAATGCTCGTTAATTACTTCATCCAAGTTAAATGCAATTGCTGAGGTGCAGCTCATGCTGTTGTAGTTTCACTGCATGTGTCAAGAATTGTCTAGCCCAGGTAATATTTAGTGTAAAGATTAAAATCCAATTAATTGCTAATTATAAAATAAGTATAGAAATAAATCATGTCAGAGAAAGAGCATTCGGCCTCAGTCCATATTGTCAACTCATGTATTTGACTCGGTTACTAGGTAGCATCCCCCTGGGGTTTAGTTCTTCTGTATCTGCCAGCTTGGATTCATCTGGAATTCTGGATTCAAGCTGTTATGACATGTTTGTTAATTGATTTGGAGGGAATGCTGAAGAAGCGTTAACGATAAGCGTTCTTTTTGAAATAGCTTTTTGCTGTAACAGTTCATTTTGGATGTATATTATGTACGGAAATGTGATGAATTGTCAAAAAGAAAAATAAATGGAAAAAACAACAAAGCAGCTTCTAATAGTTCTTCAAATCATTTAGTTTTAATGATTATAATTCAATTTCTGATAACTTCAAATATAAAAGAAATCGTTTTCTTCTAAATGAATGAACTTATTTTCGTAAGGATGAACTTTTCCTCATGCATGCTTGCTCACTGATTGCTTTTCTTTGAGAAAAAGCTGATGTTTTAAAGACAAAATTGCTTGTAAAGAAGTTTGAAGAGATTGTTTCCTAGTAATAAATTTATGTGATACATCAGTAGGGTAAATAGTAAGCATAGAAATATATATCTGGTTTTATATATTTAAATAGATTGCATAGTAGTTGGCACAAGATTACAAAACCATTAATATCCTAAAAGTTGAAACAAAAAGCCCATGTAACTTCAATTTTGTTTCACTGCATATATATATATATATATATAAACTAAAGTCTCTAGGAATACATTAAGAACTTCAACCAGGGAAAGAAAAGGTTAAAAATCAACCAGAAAAACATAATAACTGCAGCAGCAGAGGCAACCTTGGATTTCCTTTATCTTGAAATGGATAATTCTTGCTTTCCTGTTGGTGTGTTCAGTATAATAACTGCATCAGCAAATTTCCTCAAGCTTAAGCAGAGTATGGTGGAAAGGTTTGAAGTTAACAGGTGAAAGTTTATACTTGATCAGTGTATTCTTATCAAAATCTTGGAGATATAAGGGCTTTTAATGGATGCTTCATCCTTACTGAGAACTCGTGCTTTTCTTCCATGTTGACATCATCTCCATCCACAGCTTTCCATTCAAAATTCCAGACCAAATTTGCCACATAATACTCCAAATGAAGTATGGCCAATGCATACCCTGGACAAATCCTTCTTCCTGCCCCAAATGGTATCATTTTAATCTCCTTGCTCCCTGTTATATCAAATTCCTTTCCATCCTTGTTATGATCGGTACATAAAAACCTCTCTGGCTTAAATGACATTGGATCTTCCCACACCTTTGGGTCACTTCCCATGTCTCCTATCATGAAATTCACTGTCCCATTTCTTGGCATCAAGTAACCATTTAAAACCACATCTTCTGTCACTGCATGAGGCAACAAAAACCGAAGAGGAGGATGTCGCCTTAGCCCTTCTAAGATCACTGCTTTTAGATATGGCATCTTCTCTAAATCATCTTCTTTCACCATTTCGTCATCATCTCCCATGACCCCTTTGATCTCCATGAACAACTTCTCTTGGATACGTGGATACTTCACCAAGTTTGCCATGATCCATTGCAACAGTGCGGATGTATTTTCTGTTCCTCCGTTGAGAAATTCGGAGCATAAACCAAGAATTTCTTCGACACTAAGGATTCTATTCTCTTCTGGTAGCTGTAAATCTAACAACGTATCAACGTAGGAGACATTTATGTTGCTGACCTGATTTTCGCCTTCACTCAACTTCTCTTCCTTTGCCTTCTTTCTCTCTAGTATCAAAGGGACGATCAAGTGCTTCGATTTTTCTTGTAGTTTGAAGATCTTTTTCCATTGTTTACGAAACAAAATTTTTGTTACTCTTGGCCAAATAGAAATCATACTCACTTTACTGAAACTCAACATCATTTTCCGCTCAACATCTGATATTTCCTTGATTTTCTCTTCTTCAAGCTGGTCTCCGAAACACATGAAGACTAGCAGGCTAAACATGGAGAGTTGAAACTGTTCCATCACTTGGACCGGATGATCACCAGATTTAGACTGAATCTTGAGGACTTTCAAGAGTCTTTCCACCGCCAACTTGCGCGCATGTGAATAAGATTTCACACGAGAAGACTGGAGCATTTCTGCTGTAAGGTTACGTCGTAGCACACGCCATGTGGAGCCATAGAGAGCAGTGGTGATAACAACTTGTTCTCTACCATCTAAAGCTGGAGGACGGTCAGCAAAAATGGCACCATTTTGGACCAAGGCCTGGTGGGCAAGAAAGCGATCGGCAATGAAAATAGCCGGGCGAGAACCAAAGTGGAGGGTGATTATAGGACCAAATTTGGCATGAAGGGACTTAAGTATACACTGAAAGTCATTAAAAGATTTGCGGAACAAGAACAAGTTACCAATGATGGGCAGAGGAAGGGGGCCTGGTGGGAGATTTCGAGAGGGTTTTCGGGTTTGAAAGAGATAGTTGAAGATGAGTATGAGGAGAACAGAGATGGAGATGGAGATGATGAAGATAACGAACCAGGCTGCCATGGTTAAGGATGGCTATTGTAGGAGATGGTGAATGTGTGTATTGGTAACCAACATTTAGCTTTAAATCTATGTGAGTATGACGGTTAGATGCTTAAGATCGATATAAAAAGTTATAAAAACAACAAACAAATGTGCTTAACATGTTTGTCGCTGACATTGGATCCTGATTCCATGTAATTGGAAGGGCAGTACAGGAGTTAGATGATTTGTCATTTTATAGAAGCCGCGCAATTTTTTTTATCACGTTAGAGAAGTTTTCTTCTGTGCTTAAGTTTCTTATTTATTTATTTTTTTATAGAGGAGGTCACCTCTTAAAAAACTAAAGAAAAGAATTACAAGAGCAAGAAATCGAACTCCAATTCTGTAACAATCTATCTCTTAAAAGGGACGAATGAATTTTTTGAACTTCTCAAAATTTATGTATTCATTTTTTAAAGCATAAATATAAAATAAACTAAAATTAAATAATCTAAACTTTTATTATTTTATTACAGTCAATTAAGTTTTCAAATTTTTTTTTATTAATTCAGCTTTTATTAAACGAAAATTAATTAATATCTAACACCTATTTCTGTCCATCAAGGACTCAATTTGATGAAAATAAGTTTTTAAAAATTCAATTTACGTTTAAGTGTTTAATTTAATAAAAATAAATATTTAAAAATTCGATTGATTACAACAAAACAATAGAATATTGAATAATTATTTAATTTTTATTTATAGGTTTGTTTTTATAATTAAACTATTTTTAAACAATGCTTGATATTTTTTTTATTTTCTAAATCATATTAATTTTAAAATTCGAATATAAACCTCTGATATTGTCTCTCAAATTTTAACAGTTAAGATTTTTCATAAAGATTATTTATATTGAATCATTGATTTTGAATAAAAAACGAGATATTGAAAGCAAGTAATATAATTTTTTAGAGAAGAATAATATTATTTTCCGTAAATTTATACCGTTTTGGCCAAGAAAATAGCACCTCCACCATTAGAAAACACAAATACACAATAGACAGCAAGAATAATTGTAATTTGTAATCCTGACGAGAAACCGAACGAATTTCGGCTTCTCAAAGATACAAAAAACTACAACCCTTAGAAGCCTGCAAATCCTTTTTGACACAAAAATCCGACATCCTATAACGGGAATCAAAACAAACAAAGATTCTTCCGAAATAGGACAAAGCGTTGTGCCAGAAACAGCTTGGCTGAAACTTAGTACACTCAGAAATGTTTGTGTTTTGACTTTTTGTTTGGTTTCGATTTATAGGTAGATGTAAAAGAGACTTAACTTATCAAGGTATACAATGCCAATGCTTGTATGCCCAGTTACTTTTCCTTTTCTATCTTATGTTCTAGTCTACTTTCTTTAAATATTTGGCGAATCTTACGACGCTCTCGTCACGATTGTTACTTTACTCGCTCTCTTTTGAAGTGCTTGATGTGGTCATAATTTTGTCATCGTACCTTAACCCGCACCTAAACAAGTGACCAGACTGCCCATCCTGCTTATACTCATTGAAGCTCTTGGCATGGAGTTAGATGAGTCGAGAATCGACTCTAATATCACTTGTTAAAATGACCATTACACTTGAGGTGTGTAGTATCAACGCTTATATGCCCAATGACCTTTATTTAACAATTCTTACATATAACACCAAATGCTCTAAGAAAATAAGCAAAATGCATTAATCTAATATCAGATAAAAAAGGGAAAATCGCTTGGTATAAAACGTTAGTGCTGCACACCCCAATAAAGCGATTTTATAGGGAAATTTTGATAGCTGCTTGATAAGTGGTATCAAAACCAATCTTTTACTTATCTGACTCCATGTCCAGCACCCTAGCAAGGATAGCCAGGATTGGCCAGTCTGATCAATTAATAAGGTGTTGGGGTCAGATTTAAGGGCAAAGTCCTGACCATGCCAAGTTCTCCAAAAATAAAAAATAAAAAAACAGGTAAGGTGGTAAACAAGGTTTGATCACTCTACGTACTCCAAAAAAGAGAGGCAGGCAGAGTGACAGGCATCAAATGTTGAAAAAAAATGTCACGTCAAGCACTCAAGGTAAGATGTATTAATTTTATATCTGATAATAAAAGGAAGGTTGCTTATGGGGATAAAGGAAAATGTCACATCAAACACTTAAAAAAGAGAATAGATAAGATGCATTAATTCTACATCGGATAATAAAGGAAAAGTTGCCATACATGACATTATATACCTTAGTAGGCTGAATTTAGAAGAAGAGAGTAATAACCACGTCATACTAACAGCATGCTATAACCGTAAAAGATGAAATCAAGTAACAGAATGAATCCAGCTTGCTTTCTGTTTTTGACAAGAAAACCATGGATTTTATTTTAATAAACTGCAAAGTTGAAATAAATATATTAAGCACTCCGCTTTGCTTTCCCTTCAGGGAGTGACAGTGGGAGCGAATCTCAAATGATTCTGCTCTCTCTGTTTTTTGTTTTAGGTACAATTTTAGACCAAGTTCCCAGGAAACAAAAACATAAAACTTTAACCTTTAACCTTTACTTTGAAAAAAATAACAATCAATAGAAGAGTTTCCTCTTTCTTTCAAGGAAACAAAACACTTCATCCTCCACAAGAGGGGCTTTCAATGGAGTTCTAAAAACGTATCAAGGCACATTATAAAGACAATGAAAACGGGGGTATAAAGTAAAATATATATATATATATATATATATACACAGCTAATGACTATAATCTATAGAAGGTATCAAATTATTGTCCTCCAAGTATTAACAAATATGGGTTGGGAACAGCAGCGTACCACAACTAATCTCAATCAAATAGGCCTTTGGCCTAGTGGTCACCCGCCCCCTTCCAAGGATATCAACCCCCCCCCCCCCCCAACCAAAAAAAAAGAGTAATATCAACCAAAACATAATGTACTCATCTAGATACTGCACAGGGTCTATCTCAACTGAACATGTATGCATGTACAGGTAAGAAGTTAAAGCACGAAGCAAAACTAGAGGAAAGCAGAATACACACTTGGCATGTACATATCATCATCAAAGCTGAAAAGATTGGCCTCTTTTTTCCAAGGAAATTTCATCTCTGAACTTGAGTAGAAGCGAAATTCAACTGAAATAATGTAGTTAACCTGAGGATCTCCTGCTCCACATGCCTAAGCTTGATTTTTGCTCCCCTCTGGTCCTTTTATTATCAGTTTGCTTTGACTTGGAAAAAGGTGAATGTGCATTTGGTTGAAGAGTAGTGTTAACAGGCGAGTTGTCTCCAGGAGAATGGATAAGGGAAATGGTTTTCAGCTTCTCCATTGATGTGTGAGGCTTCTCCGCCTGCTGAATTATAGCACTTCCAAAATCACGCAACTCCTCCTTGGCTGCCTGGTTAGGTATTAGAATTTCACCCTCAATCTGCAGATTACGAATGAAAATCAGTTCCATTACAGAAGAAACATTGATAGCAGAAAAGTAAATTTGACAGCTAACCCAGTATGAAATTCCTAATAGATATTTTTTTTATATAAATCTTGATTATAGCAAAACAGGACAACATAATGAAAAAAGGTGCATTATTTGCTATATAAATGAAGAGTAAAAGGAGGCAAAGAAAGGGTAAGGGCATTGTTTCATACTTCATGCTTGCAAGTAAACTTGCACTGGACAAGCTCAAAAGTGGTAGAAGCTGAAAATACAAATATTACAAGTAAAACTATTTCTTATCTCAGAAACAACTACAGTAATAGACTGTGCAGGCAAAGGAGAGGCTTTGGGGTTACACAATTGCACTGGATAAACAAAATAAAAAAGAAAGATCAGAAAATTCGCACAACAAAGAAAAACTCACATTTTCAGAGGAAATCTCAAGCAGACGCTGACTCATGCTCCTGATCATATCGGGAAACGGGGCCACCTCTCCGTGATTTGAAACTGCACTTTCAGGCATAAAATGATCCCACATGTCGCACTCAGATGCATGCTGGGATGTAGTACATTGCAAACTATTTCTATCTCCGTTCTCAGCATAACGATGATTTCCAGAATTGTTCAATACACCAGATGGTACAACCGAACTCAACTTATTGATGGACAAGAACTTTTGAGGACTTTCATTGACCACCTTGTCCATTCGCTTCTTTAGTATGTGAATTCTTGAGTGTAGCACTTCAATCTTCTGAAGGATCTGTTCTGTCAAGTTATCACCATCACTAGATTGAAAAGGCCATCCATCATTACAACCAATGTCATCACAGCCATTGACTGCCTTATTATCTGTGGAAATCAAGATATAGACTGTTTATTATCTAAAGAAAACATTGCATAAAAAATATGCAAAATCCCAGTAATTGATGGGGATTTAAAAAAAAAAAAACATATGTAACAGAAGGGTTATATGTCAAACCTAGAAATATAATCATTAATCCTTTGTGGCTCTCAAATAGAAAAAAAAAAGTATATTCTTAAATCCATGATAAATATGTTGGCCAAAAAAATCAGTGATAAAATAGACATATATAATAACAATTATCCATTATTAAGAGGGACAGAGAGTCATAAAATCTAGGATAATCTCTGGCATCAAACTTCATATTGACTTCCTCAAATCATTTTCGTTTTATCACAGAAAACCAAATATAGTTTCAAACTTCAAAAGTTCCACCCAAATCAACTTTTAAACCAAACACATAATAGTAAATGAGAAACAGGCTACTATATCTATAATCTCACAGCCGTCCACAGTTAAAAAAGTTAGATCTGGTTGGGTTAAATAAGCTAAACTTAATTATATGCTAGACAACAAAGAAATGCAAACAGCTTACAATATTTATATATTATTTCCTTATTGGCAGCCTTTACATATAAGCTATAACATGCAATCATGGCAAAATATAATCCTGGCTTCTTACCTAGATCACCCCAATCATCATCCAGAGCAGAAGCAGTAGAAGCAACAGACTTCTTTCTTTCTGAGAGGAGGGATAAAAGCTCAATCAGAATTTTTTTCAAAAAATAAAATCATACAAAGAATAATTAAAAGCTCCATACCATAATAGGAGAATATATTATGATGTGACATATATGATGCTACTTCAGCAGTATCTTCTACTCTTTTTCTTTTCTTCCTCTTCATTACTTCCTTTCTTTGTATTTTTGAATGAAAAGCTTGCGACGTTGCATCAAAGCCTTCAAAGGTATCCTTTTCAAACTCAAACTGCTTGTTTTGATCATATTCTGCAAGCTCTCTCTCATACTTGAGTGCCTGAGACTTAAATTCATGAAGTTTAACTTCTAACCATTTGCAGCGCCACACAAGAGGATGTATAAACCTCCTCCAGTGATCTGTTAACCTTCTCGTCCTGGAGAATTTAAGACAAAAAACAAACTAAATTATCTGAAACATAAACATACCATCTAACCTAGAAAAAGTAAGCACTTTACAAAAGTGAAACTCAATCATGGACATTTTATATGTTTATAAAATATAGGAAAGAAAATTTATATATGCATCTGTATGATTGTCTATGATCCATATATGGTGAAATTCTAGAAAGCACCAAGTTCACTAACAGTCATTCAATATCAGACAAATAATAACTAATTAGAGGAGTATGGGACTTTTCAAAATCAATAGTGTTCAATTTCAGTGATTTGGAAGCCCCAGAAGATTGGATACTAGGTCATTCAAACTGAATTTTTCCACAAAAAGGGAAACCCGTGCATGGTAGGAGAACCTATTTGACCTCATAGGAACAATTTTGTCTAAATGCCGTTTGAAGCTTCCTACAATAGGCACATAAAGTAATTAAAAACAGAGTTCTAGTTTATGGTGAACTAACACATATAGACAATAACAGTTGGCAAAACAATCTGTACAGAACAATTGATGCATCAACTGGTTAATCATCAATATCAGGTCAAATACAAAGTACAATCTTAAAAAAAAAAAAAAAAAAAAAGAAACAGTTCAAACAAAAGATTACCCCATCTGAAACAGTCCGTTACGTCCATCAAATAATGATCCGGACAACTTTGGTTCACACAGCGGTGATTCAACTTCATCATTCACTAACAAACCATTCTCATCCCCTGATACCGTGTCATCAAAAGAACTGGAACACTCAGTAGCATCCTGGCATTCAACATCAATCATCACAGAATCGCCCGAATTCATGCATTCAGCAAAATCAATCTCTATATCCCCGTTTCCTTGCATCCCCTTATTTTCTTGATTTTGAGCCTCACTTCCTTTTCTCGTATTAGTGGAAACCACTTTCGACGTGGCTTCGGATTTCTCAGTCAGTTTTAAGTCAGGTCCCATATTTAAATTCTTAAGACAATCAAAACCTTAACTCTGATTCTCAATCAATTAGTCATTAAAACCCTGTCAAAATTCAAACTAACAAATAAATCAGATCAGTAATTTTATAAACTAAATATGGAACCAAAAGAATATTTTTTGTCAACCAAAATTTTTAATCTTTTAAATCGGAATCCAACACATTGATCAAACTATAAGAACATATAATTAGAACAAACCCACCCAAAAAGAAACTAACTTTCTCGGAAAAAGGTTCAAAATACGAGGAAAAAAATACAAAAACAACGGAAAAACAGAGAGAAAATTGAGCATGAACGTCTAAAAAGAATAACATTCAGCTTTAAGAACACTGAAAAAAAAAATTTTCATAAAACCCAAAACCTTAGAAAAAGGGCAAAATATTACCTTGAGATTGACAAGGGATCAAAGTCCTGGTCGACTTTTGATGTGGCATCGGTTTTAAATTCGCTATCACCGAAATATCAGGAGTTTTCTATTTATGGCGCTCGATTTACTTCTTTTTCAATTTTTTTTTTAATTTTATTATAATATTGTTTTTTAACTTAAGAAAGTTTAAAGTATGTTTGTTTAAAAAAAAAAAAAATTGAAATATTTAGGTACATAATGCATTTATTTTCCCTAATAATAGTAATGTTTTATTAAAGTAAAAAAATATTTTTTATATAATAAGAAAAAATATCTCTTGATCTTACCATTTTGTTCCTTTTTTTATGTAAAAAAAAAAATCTTATTTCCCCTGGGATTAATTTTAATGTATTTAATAGTAAATTTTTATTTTTATATAAAATTGATACAATTTTTAATATTAAAAAATAAAAAATATGAAAAAAATTTTAAAATATAAAATAAAAATTTTAAGTGTTAAAAAGACAAATTTTTGAATATCCAAAAAAATTAGAATAAAAAAAAAAGATAGAATAGAGTATAAGACTTTTTCGAACTTATTTTTATAATTAAATTTAAAATAAATTAACACCTTGGCTCAATTATATTGTTGACAGAGTTAGATACATAATAGATCACTTCTTGCCCGTTGCTGCAGGTGGTTTTTTTTTTAATGTATTGATTTAATTTATAAGTATTAAAACTATTTAATAGATATAGTAAGCACCAAAAATATGAAATGTTGATAAATGTAAAGGTATGGTTTTTACTGTTAAAATAAGACGTCCAAGCTTGCGAGGTGAGAATCGAAAAGTTTTATAATATTGTGGGCAAGCCAAGAAGAGTAATAAGTTTAATTTCTTTAAATATGAATTTAAATTTAATTTGAATTGATTAAGGTTATTTATACTAATAGATGTGAATCTAAACTTAAAGTTTATAAAATATGAAATACGAAATATATTCAATATTATAGATATATAAATATCTAAGTTTTTGAGTAATCTAAATACATTTATCTTATAATTAATTAGATTTATGGTTATGATAAATTCATGAATGGTTAAATTTATAAATATTTAAATTCATGCAATTTAGATTTGATTCATATTATTTATATTATTTAATAATAATAGACATGATTTTAAACTCGAAAATTAAATTATAAAAAACGCAAAATGTATTCATTCACAATTCATTGAATTTATAAATATTATAATTTAAAAAATGCCTAAATTTATAAATAATTAGTATAATGTAACTTGAAATTAAAAAAAATCAAACATTAGTTGATAATAGTCTAACCGCTCATGTAAGTGCATTTATATATCTATATAAAAAATCGAAACATAAAAAAAATTAAATGTTATCATCTAAATAATATTTTAAAAAAGACACGTGTTACAATTTCATCAATCTCGGGATGACTCATACTTACATGGCACCATTCATGTGTCCATGTGACACAGTATTAGAAACAAGAGATGTAAATATACGTAAGATAAGATATAATAAAATGGAGTACCTAGTTCAAAAGGCATAAAAGGAATCCCATTGCATGCTCTTTTAGTTGGAGAAAAGGATATACATGAAATCTTTTTTTCATCTAAAACCTAGAGAATAAATTGGCTATCAATGGATTCTTCATAGTCAATGCAGACTCTTGCTTTGGCTTCATATCAACATCTTGTCCATCCACAGCTTTCCATTCCAAAGATCAAACCAAATTTGCTACAACAAACTCCAACTGAAGCAAGGCCAATGCATACCCTGGACAAATCCTTCTTCCCGCACCAAACGGTATCATTTTAATCTCTCTACTCCCAGATATGTCAAATGTTGCCCCCACCATTTCGTTACTCAGAAACCTCTCAGGCTTGAATGCCGTTGGATCTTCCCAAACGTTAGGATCCATTCCAATATCCCTTATCACGAAATTCACTGTCCCATCTCTAGGCACCGTGTAACCATTGAAAACAACATCTTTTTGTCACTTTTTGTGGCAACAAAAGGGCTGCAGGAGGATGTCGCCTTAAAGTTTCTAAGATCACTGCTTTAAGGTATGGCACCTTGGGCAAATCATCTTCTTTCACAAAATTTTCTTCTCCTCTAATCACCCCTTTAATCTCCATGATCAACTTCTCTTGAATATGTGGATATTTCACCATGTATGCCATAACCCATTGCAATGTGAAGTTGTAAAATGAGTGCCACCAATAAGAAATTCGGAACATAAACCAACCAATTCATCATCATTAAGGCATCTATTCTCCTCTGGTAAATGTAGATCCAACAATGTTTCGACATACGCTGAGACAAATTCATTAGCTTTCAAGGAATTCCTTGACGTGATCTCTTCCTTCAACTTTATTCGTTCTTTTATCAATGGGATATCTAATTCCTTTTGTTCTTGTCCCACTTGAAAGGTTTCGTCCCAAAGTTTACGAAACATAAACTTTGTCACCCTTGGCCAAAAGCAAATCATATAAATCATAGTTGCTTATTAAAACTCGCTAACAAACGGTACACGACATCTTTCATTTCCCTGAATTTGTTGTCTTCAAACTTGGTTCCAAAACACATGAAGACTTGCGAGGAAAACATGGAGAACTGAAATTGTTCCAACACTTGTATCGGATTACCCGATTCCAGTTGACACTTGAGGTTGCTCAACAGTGTTTCCATAGCCCACTTGCGCGCGAGTGAGTAGGATTTCAAACAAGAAGATAGCAAAATTTCAGAAGCGAGGTTTCGACGAAGGAAACGCCATTTGTTGCCATAGAAGGCAGTGCTGATTTGCCTTTGGTTTGTGCCATCAAAGATGTAGGACGGTCAACAAAAATCTCACGCTCTTTTACTAAGGCTTGGTGGGCGAGGAAGTGATCAGTAATGAAGATAGATGGACGAGAAGCAAAATGAAGGGTGATCATAGGACCATATTTGGCAAGGAGAGATCGAAACACAGGCAGAAAATCGTTATAAGATTTGCGGAGCAACAGCAAGTTATCAATGATGGGGTAGGGAAATTGGCCTGGTGCGAAGTTTTGAGAGGTTTTTTTTGGAGGATAGAAAATGAGTTTGAGGAGACAAAGGATGGAAATGGAAATGAGAACGAGGAGCCAAGTTTCCATGTCTAAGAACTACTATAATAAAGAGATACTGATGGTTGCATGCTCTTTTGTGGTGCTGCATGCATGAATATATATATATATATAGGCGATCAGGTCTTAGTTGTTATTATTTTTTTATTTGAAGAAATAAAAAATTATTGGAATTATGTTATTTGAGGTAGAAAAATCATGCATTAAACACTAAATTAAATGTTCGAATGCACTTAATAGTTACATATATCAAGATTAATTTATTTTTCCACAAATATTTTAGGTTTCCTACTTTTATACTTTTATATGTATATTAAAAAGAAATTCTTTTGTATTTAAGTTGTTTAAGAATAAATATAGAAAAATAATTGGCCATTTCATAAAAAATTTGAATGAAATAAAATAAACAGTTTACTTCTTGTCTTTTTTTTTTTTTTACATAAGAAACTGTAGTTTGAGTTAAAGGAAAAAAGTTACAGTTGGCTTTAAAATTTGAACCCCGACTCATTAGATGTCACTTTTTAAAGATATATAAATCAATTGAAATAAGCTCTGAATGAATTTTTTTTTATGATCTCAATTTATTTGATCACTTAATATACATTTAACTCTTGACCTTTTATTATGAAACAAAATTTACATGAAATTTCATAGATGAAGTTCGTAAAATTTTTTATTAAAAATATGTAAATAAAAGTTTTAATAAAAAATTTCAAACTGATAAATTAATAGAGTTTAATATGAATATCAATAATATGTAAAAATTTATTAAAAATATTATTTATAATTCAAATTAATTGATACTTATTTAATGGTAAAAATTTTATTAATATTTTTATTAAAAATGTTATTAATAATATATCAAAATTTATTAAATTTTTATTAAATTTCGCACACTTAATCTATGTGATGAGATCTTTCAATCTATCGATTTTGATTTTAATTTTAATTTTAATTTTAATTTACTTATTTCTATAAAAAATTTCATGAAATTCACCTATACAACTTTATGTAAGTCTGTTTTATTATTATGTGGGGCACGAAATTATTATAAAATGCAAAACTGAAAACTTATAATTCTTGAAACACTTGATGTATATAACTATCAATGTTTCTTTCTCAGTTTTATATGCATTGCTTTTTAACGCCATCTTATTATTAAATACATTTCTTTTTAATTCCATTTATAGGAAATCAAATTGTAAGATAAATTACCCAAATATTTTACTTTTAGAAAACATTAGGTTTTCTATATCCTTTCTTGATTTATCAAACTTCAACAAAAAAAAATTTTTTTATAAAAAGGTCGTAATCTAAAATAAATAAAAAAAGTTACTGATTTTAGAATTTGATATTTAAATATGATCTTTAAATATGTTGGGTTCAAAATTAACAACTCTCAATTTCTGATATATATCAAATTCTTTGGTCTGTGGGGAAAGTGACTTACAAAATTTTGCCAAAAAAGAAAAATAGGGTGGAAGTGTGGCTTGAAAATTATATTCATAAAAAAAAAAAAAGAAGAACCCTGTTCATTCATGTTCTTATTTTTTTTTAGAGATTATTCTTAATTATTAAAATAGCCACCAAAAATTAATTATATATAGATATATGTTGATTAAATGTAATAATTCTGAAAACCATGTTCCCTTGTGGAACGTAAAGTCAACTACAAGAGAAGAAAAAAGAGTTTTTTTTTTTTTTAAGTTAATTTTGCTCTATACTATGAACAAAATTTACATAAAATTTTTTAAGTAAAATTTATGAAGTATTTTTTAAATTGATTTGATAAAAATTTTAATAAAAATTCAAACTGATAAATTAATAGAATTCAATGTAAAAATTAATAATATAAAAAAATATTAAAACTATTCTTTATAACTTAAAATTGATCGATATTTATTTAATGGTAAAAATTCAGTCAATATTTTTATTAAAAATATTTATCTAAA